TCCAATTTCCCCCCCTGCTATCTTCTTCTTTTTTGTTTACTTTTTATTGTAAGTCTTTTCCCCTTGACCTAAAATGTAAGCCAAAGAGAGCAGAGCCTTGTTCTGTTTCACTCACTGCTGTATTTCTGCTCCTAGAATCTGTTTGGCATATAGCAGGTATTCAATAAGTATTGGTTGAGTGATTGAATAAATGCATTTGATAATGCCTTAATGTTTTGGAATGGAAACCCTTAGCCCCTTTCTAGTCTCATTTTTAGATATTCTCCTTAGGTAATTTCATCTCCAGTGGCTTTTTCGACCGCTCTCACTATTTACCTCCAGCTTGACTCTTTTTTTCTGTCTCCCATATTTGTTGTTTATGTAATTTTGACTTACATAATCAAAGATGCTCTTGACTCTTGAGGAGTAGGAGCCCAGGGGGATCAGCATTAATGTTACAAAATATTGATACTTTTAACATTTAACATTTTGTATTTAAAAGGAACTTAGATTTCCTCTACTCCCAATGCATGGCTTTACATGTCGATGAAGAAAGTTCAAGAAAATAACAAGCCCAAAATCTCGCAACCAGTGTGTGGCAAAACTCAGAACTTCCAGGCTACCTTACTACTTCCACAGTAGTTATCTGCCTATTAGACTCTACCTCTCCTTTTGCTAATGACACCACACACACACACACACACACACACACACACACACACACACACACACAGAGTTTTATTTGATTGAGATAAAATTCACATACCATGAAATATATGCATACCTTTTAAAAGTGTGCAATCCTGTAGTTTCTAAGGTATGCACAGGATTGTGAAACCATGTATTTAATTTTAGAACATGTTCATCACCCCCCAAAGAAACCCCATATCTATTTGTAGTCACTCCCCCCTACTCCTCCCCTTCATTTCCCCTCCCGTTCTCTGGCCCTAGGAAACCACTAATCTACTTTCTGTCTCTACAGACTTGCCTATTCTGAACATTTTATGTAACAGAATCACACAACATGTGGCCTTTTGTGTCTGGCTTCTTTCACGAAGCTTAATGACTTCAAGGTTCATCATGCTATAATTTTACCTTTTTGTTTTGTTTAACCCCTTTTCTCTAACTGCCTTATTTTAATATCTGTCTTTGAGCAAAAATTAAACTCTGAATATCCTGGAAGCCAAAGGCAAAAAAGAAAAACACAAATATGTTACTCCACTCTAGTTAGCTATAAAGGGAGCACACAGTTTCTCATGAGCAGAGAGTTTTTGTAGCCCTACATTTTGAGGGGAACCCTCAGTGCAGTCCAGTTTTACCATCCAGCTCTGTCTTTTGATCATTTAAGGTGTTTTCCTTGTTTTCTTATTTTACTATCTCTGGGTCCCTTTGGGTTTGGCACCCAGAACAGTATTGAAAAGGGAGAGAGAACGACCTTGTGGTGTCCTCAGTGACTCTTCTCTTTGTGGGGACAAGGGGGAATTCTTACTTAATTTTTAATAACATTCCAATTTAACCTCCACTTTTAATTCTCAGGATCTTTCTTCCATCCTTGATCACAATTTTTACTTCCATCTCAAATTTGTGAAATATTTTTACAACTTACTTCTGAAAGGATAGAGCACTTTGCCAACCTTGATTCCAAAATAGGTCTCAAATAATTCAAATACTCTAGTAGATGCGGGGAGAGGACAAGCCGTTATATGTAGGGAGAGATGAAAAGAGGAACATGATTGTTTGCTGATGTCTGCCTCCGGGTTTGGGAAAAGGAAAGTTCTGGCATTTATGCTACATCTTACATTATTTTTTTTTCTTTTTGGGGACCTGAGGTACAGAGAATTAAATTAAAATCATGCTTCTCAACTACAGCAGACTATCATCAGTTCATGCAAAGCCTTTTGTTTTAATTTTTGTTTTTGTTTTAATTTTCACCTTGATCTCTAATCTTTGCTCACATTCACCTCCCTCTTATGCATGCTTTCCTTCTGCATTTGGTACATGTCCTTAAGAGACATGTATCTTTAGAAACTATTTGGTGTTAGTGGATGTGAATGAGTAATTACATTAATATTGTGACATAAATCTCATTCTGTTGCTATTTTTTTAACTCACCACTACATCTTTAAAGCGAATTCATGTTGCTGGATTTACATTGACTCTATTGCTCCAACTGCTGCCTAATGTTTTATGGTATGTTACCCACCACCTTTTACTTTTCCATTCCTCTAGCAACGGAAACCTGTATGGAACAATGACATAGTGAACATCCTCATACTTGTCTCCTTAGAGGCCTGAGGAAGAATTCCTTTGGTTTGTATGCCTAAGAGGAATTGGTGGGCCATAGGATGCAAATACACTGTTGTCTTTGTCCAGCTTCCCTTGTGGATAACCGGCACCCCCTCAGTCCTACCTCCTGTACTAACTATTGCTGCAGGGATCAGAGCTTGGCAGGTGCACAGGCTGTCACCAGCTTGGCGCCCATGGGATGTGGTACAACCTTGCTTCTTATTTCCTGCTCTGGGACTTCACTAAGGCAGAGATGCAGAACTCAGGGAACCTGCTCAACACTCATGCCTACACAATTAAGTTGGGTAATGGGGAGGGGCAGAGGTTAATAGTCCCAACGCTACTCTTGACCTTTTGGAGGGTAGGAGCCAAGGGATAAGTATGCCTCCCCTTGAATTCCCCTGGGAGGAAGTTCTGAGACATAGTTCATAAGACTCTTACCAAGTTCCCTGTGGGGTTGAGTACAAGTTGCCAACAGTGGTTGCCAACCTGAAAACACACCCTGGTACTGGTTTTGCCTTTTCCCTAATTCAGTCCTCTGGTTCCTCATTCCTGCTCCCTGTTATTACTTCCCAAATCAACGACCTATAGATAAGCCTTTGTTTCAGGCTCTGCTTCCAGGGGCTTCCCAGAGTACAACATTATCCCTAAGTACTGCCAGACTGCTGTCTAGGGGATCTGGGCCCTAATCTGGAGAGTCTGGCCAGCCTCCAACTTGGGAACCAGAGACTGGGCCATTTCAAAACTTCAGAGGGCCACCTTTTAACAAGAGGCTTTGCCTCTGCTTGGAAAGCTCCCAAGGTGGGATCTTTCATCTGTGGATCAGTGATTTTTTTAAATATTTACTGCAGTTATTTTCAAAATGTGGTTGTGGGGTGCCTGGGTGGCTCAGTCAGTTAAGCATCTGCCTTCGGCTCAGGTCATCATCCCAGGATCCTGGGATCGAGCCCCACATCAGGCTCCCAGCTCAGCGGGGAGTCTGCTTCTCCCTCTCCCCTGCCTGCCGCTCCCCCTGCTTGTACTCTCTCTGTCTCTGTCAAATAAATAAAATCTTTTTTAAAAAGTGGTTGTAATATACATACATACCCTGGTGATTATAAAATATTTCCCCCAAACTTTGACCTCTGCCCTCATGATTTATGATTTATGATGTATGGACAGTGGACTCATCCTGGGATGTTCCATAACAGAGTATTAAGAAAATTTCCTTCTCAATTCTTGTTAATATGGAAGCATCACATGATTTATGCTTTCCAGTAAATGGTGTTGCAGTCAGCTTATGTCCTGGAAAATGCAGTTGCTCTAACGGTCGTATTTTCACTTGGATTTACTTAGGGAAAAATGATCATTTCTTTGAGTAGACATATGTCAGTGTTAATGCGTGTGCATGTGCGTGTTGTGTGTGTGGGGGGGTGCGTGCCAGCTCACTGTATGGGGTGAATTGTCATAGAAAAAGCACAGATCATGACCACCTGGGAGCAGGGTATTGGCAGAACTCCATCAAGGGAATGTGTCCTCCTTCTCACTTGCAAACAGCTTTTAAAAATCTCCTATCCCTTTCTGCTTTTGTTGTGTGAACAGGTGGTTAATACATATACCCCAGGAAAGAAGATTTGGCTTGAAGGTGTGGTGACCACCTCTGCTGGAGGCACAAACAATCTATCAGATTCCTATGCTGCAGGATTCTTGTGAGTAACACGTGCAGTTTCACTCCCAGGGACTTTGAAGAAAGGACAGTGAAGTGGTACTGCTCATTATTCTGCCTGCTGGAGGGGGGAGGTTCGTTTCTCACTGAAAGTTCTTTATCTGTTTCTTTGTGAATGGGTGTAACCCATTCAACAAACAGTGATGAATGAATTCTCTAGACACTAAGATGTCAGGTGCAGGCACCAGGGCAAAGACAGCAGTAGTAATAGTAGTAGTAGTGAGCATATAGCCATAAGACCTTTATTTAATAGCCATAGTTCAAAGACAGTGCCTACAACATACAATTTCTCATCTAATATTCACCATAGTCCTAGGAGATAGGTAAGAACAAGATTGGAGGAACAGAGGCAGGAGATAAGAAAAGGTAGAGGAGATTAGTGTCATAATAAAAATTTTAACTCTGTGTGCCACGTGCTTTCTGAAGTGCTCTCTGTCTAATAACTGATCAACCAGTGAGACAGATACTACTAGTTTACAACCACCCAATGAGATAAATGTGAGAGCTTGGACTCAAGCCTAGGCAGTCTGCTTCACAGTCTAGCCTCTTTGCTGCTACCTTAGACCATCTTTCTTTCCTGCCTTACATAGTCTGTCCACAAAAAGAAGTGGTAGATAGTCAAAGGAATCAGGAATTTCTCTGATAGGAAGATCAGCAAGGGCTTCTTGGAGGAAGTAGCATTTGAGGGGGACATAGAAAGATGACTCTAATTTCTACATGTGGAGGGTGGTGGTGATGGTGGAGGGGAGCATTTGAGGCAGAAGGAACATTATGGGCAAAGGCACAGGGGAGGGGCAGGTCTCTCTCCAGCTCCCTCCATGAAGGGCTGTAGTGTTTCCCATTTCACATCATTCCCTGCAAAGTCGTGTGATGAAAGCTTCAGGAGCAGCAGGGATGTAGTGAGGACTGCAGTGAGGGGGTGTGGGGCTCTCTACCAATCGTGGAAGGCTGTGAACGCCAGGCAGAAGAAGTGAAGCCTTGTTCTACACTCAGTGGCAAGCCACGGAAGACTTTGGAGGAAGAGAGAGACACCGTCTGACCTGTGTTTCCATGTTGGCTTTGGGAATAGTATGCACAAGGGTTTGGAGAGGCAAGTGATGGGATGATGGACTTGAAGGCTTCCGCAGCTATCTGGACAGTGACTTTAACACCGGAAGCATAGGGGCTCTCACTGGCCTGGCAGCATCATATGGCGGGGCAGACCCCTCAGGACGATGGACTCACCAAGTGACCTGGTCCTGTGCCACTCTAGTCCTGTGACCCTGGTTTTTTGGTCTGCGGCAAGGTCCTCCTAAGAGCTGAGCTCTGCCCTCAGCCTTGTGTTTCCTTACTAACAGCTGTTCCTAATTAAACACATGTAGTTTCCCTCCATTAAGGCAGCTTCTTGAATACATTTATACAGGACAAATCAGAGCAGTCAGGCAGATTGTCTTTGCAGATGGAATCCCGGCACATGCAGATGAAGATAACGAGTCCAAAAAAATATATGATGATATGCTGGGTCTTCCGTGCCTGTGTTCCCAGCACCTAGCATTGAGTGGCACAGAGCAGTTGTTCGATGAGCATGATTCCAGTGAATGAAAGGGAATGAATCAGCATTTGATACAGTGGTTCTGAGAGTCATCTTTCAAAAATACACTCCCCACCAGGTTTCCTTGTGAGCCGTGGAGCAAAGGCAAGAAGCCAGTGGCAGTTAGGACTACAGGGGCCTCTTAGAACCAGCAGAGGAATGGCTTTTGCTCAGCCATCATAGACAGACTCTTCTGCCGGGCTAGCAAGCAGCCCAGTTGTCCTGAGTGTTTCCATGATCATTCTTCCCTTCAGGGAATGATGCGAAATGGGAAACACTACAGCCCTTCATGGAGGGATCTGGAGAGAGACCTGCCTTTTCATGAGCACCAGCCAAATCTCCATAGATCTCTGCGGCCACTTTGCAAACACAGATTAACATAGTTGTTCAGGGTTAGGTTGTAGTTCAGGTGTCCAGTGTGTAGTAGACACAGATCAGTTGAAAACTAGCTCACTTGGCTCCTGGTCTTCTCTCTTACCTCTTTATCACCGATTTGCTCTCCCCTCTGCTGGCAGCACCCAGCAAAGTGTCCTTTGAATCTAGTTCTCCAAGGAGCATAAATTGCTTCCTGGGGAGGATGAAGCATTCTAAGAAGCTCTAGAAAGCTAGCAAGATTCCTTGGAAAGAAGGCATCTTTCAGGCTTTTTTCAATATATGGCATAATAACGAGCTTACAAGGACACTTGCACATTTATGCATGAATCAGAACTTTATGATTCTAACCAGGGCTTTGAGACTCTCTGATGCACTACGGACATACCCTTGGCATACTGCTGTGTCTCCAGCACCTAGCAGGATCTGCCACCCACTCAGTAGTCAATCCATTTGTATGGAATGGAAACTCCTGGCTATAGTAGCATCCTTGGTGGGATGTACCAGTCGTTTTGCCACTTTTCACTGAAAGGGAGACTTGGAACACCATTTATCTCCCCTCTCCGAGGGCTTATTATTTACAAGAGGAAGAGGATGATAACTTCCTCTAACCGTCCCACTCTGGAAAGCACAGGGAAGCAGGGGTTCTGGTCATAGTCATTTTGAATGCTCCAGACCCTGGATGTGCATATAGGATGTGGGTTTGGAAAGGAGGATGCATATTCTTCCCTCTCATATTAGAGTTCCTTCAAAAACTCCCCACACTAGCAAAAACATCCCCCAGGTTTACCAGTTAACATTAGTTTGTTGAGTATATATTCTTTGTACATCACTGTTATAAGGTCTATCGAGGTCACAAGTAGGAAGTTGATACCATTCCTATAAATGAGTATACAGATATTTGCACACCCAGTGCTTTACAAATGACTCACATAGTGACACAAGCATTTTTGTGTCTATCCTCAGTGCTGATAACAAGGCCTTGCATTTACAGCTGATTAATTCATGTTGAATGAGTAATGAATGAATGAGCAAATGGGATATTTTAAATACCAAAATACAGTCCTGTATGGATATCCAGCTGCTGCTAGACGTGATAATGCATTTACTCATCATTTTGTTTCTTTGTTCAGCAAGCATAGGTATAGAAGGCTGAATAAGACATACTTGTTTTTATAGGTAAATATTTGTTAGACATGGACTCTGTCGTTCTTGTTGCATTGGTGGAGAGAGCACTGATTTAGAGCATCGACCCAGAATTCATGTTATAGTTCTACCCCAGGATATTTAATACTGTGTCTCAGTATTAGTATATATTAACTTGTTAGTTATAGAATTAATTAGTTATATACTTAGCATAACTAAATCTGGTATCCTGATTTCACAGGGTTGGTAAATTCCAAAGTAATTTTATGTCTCAGTCTGAACAACAACAGCAACAACAAAAGTTCAGTTGTGTTATTGTCAGATTTTCTTTTTGATTTAAAATTTTTGTTTTTGCATTTTGCTTTGTTTTATTTTGTTTTTATAATTCTAATTATCAGTAAATATTTGTTAGTTTTTATGAGAACAAAATACAATTGTCAATGTGAAAAAGATTTTAAAATGTTAATAATATCCATTTATAATATAAAAATTAACAATGCTTTTTATTCCCATAAAGAAAAAGTTTAATTCTATAAGTCACTGATTTGGAGTTCCATATGGTTTCGAATTTGGGAAATCATAGTTATGCATAATTTGTCCCTAGTGTGCTGAATGGTGATTCTCATAGTTCCTTAAATCCAATTTTATCCAGATCAATTTCAACTTAACAAAGAGTATGAAGCACCTACAGTGTGCTAGGGGCTGAGATGGATATTTTGGGTACAAAGCTAAAACCTGTCTGTTTTCAGTGAGCTCCTAACCAACTGAGGGACAGCAGAGAAGTAAGGAAGTAATTATCATGGGTAGGCAGAGGGTATAAATAAGAGTTCTGTGAAGGTACAGAGGAAGAAGGTACCACTGTTGGCTGGGACAGCAGAGTTTGGAAGATGACACTTGACTTAGAGATGAACAGATGGGAAGAAATTTGCCAGATGAGGTGAGATGGGTTAGAGGAGGAGAGAAAGGGAATTCTAAGCAGAAGTTAAAACATGTATGAAGACTCAGGTGAGTATGTGAAAGCACGGTGAGTCTGGGCAGCCTAGAGTAGTTATAGGGGGCTTAGAACCAGGGAATGGAGTTTAGGGTGAGAGATGAGGGGAGAAGGGGTACAGATGAAGGCTCACATGTGTCCTCAGGAAGGGTTGGGAAACACCTGATCTTTTAGACCATAAGAGTGAAGATCTCAGTCACACTTATTATATATATATATTATTACAATTAGAAATTTCCCAAAGTTTCAGAAGTAGGAATACAAAGAGAAAATTAAATGAATGAGTAAATGAGTGGACAAATTGAATGCATAAATAGTAAGGGCAGAGTTAACGGTGGGTGTTGGAAGAAGCAAGAGGGCAGTATTTTTGAAGGATAGCATGCCCCGGAAAGTGGCTATTTGGCATAGGGAAGTATGTGATAATGTGTGAGCAATGCAGGTCCTCCATTATGATGTGTGTGATGGTAGCATAGTTGAAGCTCTGCATGGTTAATTATAGTACCAAGTAAAATTATTGCATTGACTGCTGACAGTGATATATGAGAGATGCAAACAGCTGGACCATTCTTGCCTAAGTCATAGGAGTATGTGAGTTAGAGTCACATGAAAGCTACATGTACAGGACAGGGTGCAAGCAGGGGAGTTTGAGTGACAGAGAATATAGTGTCGATGCTCCTGTGATTGTGTGTCCTGTGGCCAGGGGCGGGGAGGGTGATAATTAGGCTTACATTGGCTAGGGTATTCATTTTATTTGTTAGTATTACAGGGATAAGATAAGTCATTAGCAACAAGATATTTTATGGCCAAGGGCAATTCATTTTACTCCCTTGGACCTCTGTTTCTTTTCCTATAAAATGAAGAGGTTGGATTTGATAATCCCTAAAATGTCTTCCAGCTGTGTACTCAATGCTTAAAATACTATCTTCTCCTTTAAAGAACTAGGTAAATTTCATGGTGGGTATTGGTGCATATGTGTGTGTGTTAGCCAATCCCTATAGAGCTTATTATATGCAATTTTTAAGAGGTATTGATGTAGCATTTTTCCTGCTTTTTTAGATGGTTGAACACTTTAGGAATGCTGGCCAATCAGGGCATTGATGTTGTGATACGACACTCATTTTTTGACCATGGATACAATCACCTCGTGGACCAGAATTTCAACCCATTGCCAGTAAGTGTGAGATAAAGATTCCCAAGTCCCCTTCCATGTCACTCAGGCATTTGACCATGCCTTGTTCCACACTGAGAGAATTTTTCTCCTCCCTCTGTAACCAGGTAATTTTATAAATTGGACAGAAGTATTCATGTCTTTGTTCTCTTGACCCATTTCACAGACTTTTGGCTTCACTGCACACACACATACACATCCATGTGCACACACGCATATATACATATATACATTTATGTATTTATTTACTACTATTATTTTAACAAACCTTGTGCAGCTGAGATTCCACATCAACTTGTGGCCTGTTTGAACTCTGCTTGAGAGTGAGTTTTTCCAGATTGTTTTCTTTTAATGCTAATAGGAGACATTATTTAACGTCAGATGCAACATGTTGAAAGCAGATGGGAGCGTGTTGGCCAAGATCAGATGCAGTAGGAACCCATCTCTTAGGGAGTAGCTGAAGTGCACTTGCAGTTAGGTGTTGACCCCTATGTGACAATGAGGGGATTTGCCCAGGACACCAACTTCCCTAGGAAAGAGAAGGGAAGGGGAGGCTAAAGAAGACTGTCAAGAGCAGTGATCTTGGTTTGTTGGGTGACAGTATTGACCTATCAGAGAGATCCCACTTCGTCCAGAGAAGCTGCATTCATCAGAAATATTACATGGGTCGTCTTTTTCACAGACATCATGGTCACAGAGAAAGGTCATAGACTGTCAGAGCTGGGATTCCCCTTTGAGGAGATCCAGTTGCACCTCCCATAACAGAGGAACTGATAGTCTGAGTAGAGGGAAGAGGAAGATATAGAACCAGCTCTAGAACCCTTCCGTGTGCCCTAGTCCAATACTCTTCCTACAAAATTACTCCTGCCCTTGGATCCACAGTAAGCAAACCCAACTGGAACCAGTGAGTGTCCCTGCCATTTGCTTCCCTCTGCCTATTTCTGCCCTGCATTCCCCTCATTTTCACCCCTACCCTGAGCCAGGAGGCTGGCTTCCAAGCCCAGAACAGAGAACAGCTTGGCACCCAATGGTACTATTTCCATGTTTCAAAAGAATCCTTATAGATTAGAGGACAAAGTAATTATTGTATCACTGATTGTACTTGTCTCCAGTTAAGTCACAAATATTAGAACTGACTGGCACAGGTGCTTTTATTCACAGGGCCAGGCTACTTCTCTCAAAGTGTGTGTGGGGGGAGACCAGGGGGGGCTAATGTACAGTGGAAAGGAAATTTTCAGGTTGGAACCATATGTGTTTTTTTGTTTGTTTGTCTGAGCTTATAAACCTGTGGAGATAAAATAATAATTAGAAAAGTCTCCATGAAATGTCATCATTAAACAAATACAATGTCACACAAAAATAAATATTTATTAACCATCAGGCACTGGGAAGGAGACAGGTAATAAATAAATGAATAAACAAATAGTAGAGTACTATACCAAGGAGTCAGTGAGGGCCCCTTTGGAGTGAGTGTATAGGAAGGCTTCTCTGAGAAGGTGACGTTTAAGCCAAGAGCCCAATGACAAGAAGGAGCCAGCCATCTGGATTTTTCAGGCAGGGGAAGGGGCTAGCACATAGGTTCCAAAGTGGAAATGGACTTTGCATGTTTGAGGAAACACAGGACACCAGAGTGATGGGAACCTGGCAGAGAAGGGGAGACTGGTTGGATATGAGGCCACCCAGGGGTCAGATCCCATAAGGCTTTGTAAGCTAACAGGAGTTTGATTTTATTGTAGGTAGTATGAAAAGCCAAGGGAGGGTTTTAAGCAGGGAAATAATATGATCTAGCTTTTATTTTTAAAATATCACCCTGGTGTAATTAATGCATCAACTATTAGTTATTGTTTTAATAATGTGGGTAATACTTAATAATTTACAGACCACTTTCATATATGGTACCTCAGTAATGCTCCATCCATTCTGTTCTCCCTTTTCTCTGTCCTTCCTTCTTGCCTTACTCCCTCCCTCACTCAAATCTCATTCACTCCTCTTGATCATGTACTACATGCTGATCATTATTTCTGGAGCGAGCCTCTTTAATGAACCAAAAAGACAAGGTCCCTGAATTCTTGGAGCTTATAAGCTAATAAAGCATAGTGAGAAATGGAAAATAAATAAAACATATAAACAAGATAATTGCACTTTGTTGTAATTTCTCGGAGGAGAGCCTGGTGAGAGAAGTAGGACTATTTATACTTACTTTGCTAAAGAGAAACTAGGGTTCTATGAAGATATTAAGTGGCTTATCCAAGGTCCGACAGGTACTGGGAACTGGGACTCTCAGAGTTTTGCAGTTCTAAATCTGATTTTCTTTTCTCTTCTTTGTGGTACTCTTTGGTGTCTGTCCTGTGGTCTGAGGCCAACATTTGCCTCAGTTGGGCCTGGAGATGGAAACGGGCATCTTAAGGAACAGGAGAGAAGAAAACCCTAGGCTAGAAAAAGATGGTCTTTGGTGACTAGACAGGCTGGATTTCCAGGTTTGGACAGACCTGGGTTCCATATCAACTCTCTGTGTGCCTTTGCTGGCATGTGTATGTTAAAGATGCAAGTCCTCATGGCTTTGTTCTCCTCAAATGAGAGCTGCTGCGAATAACTTCCTTTCAAAGCATGGCACAAGAGACCTTGGTTGATAGGTGGTGGCCACAGAGCTCACTCAGGTCCATGGGAAGCTAAAACAAGTCCCAGTGATTCAGCACAAAGGCTCCAATGAGCTGGGCAGATATATTTCTGGAAACACCAAACTCTAATAAAAAACCGGAACGTAAAAGCACGTAAGGTAGCAGGCTTTCTTTTTATCTTTCTTTGCACTAATAAATTCTGCACCTTCTAAGTAGAGCACTTGCCAGCTGGGAGAGTGTGTCCTAAGTCTCCCCTGGAAAGAATTTATGAGGCTAGACCAGGGCACCGGGCGAACAGACTTTGCCAGCAGGTCCTTGGAGTGGGTAATGGAGGCGGACCTGGGAGTCATACTGGGCACCACCTCAGAGGGTGGAGCAGTTGATAACCTAACATTGCCAATAAAAACTTGTGGATTTTACGTGGTGATGAAATCTTCAAGAGAGTTAAGAGCTTAGGGGATCTGTGAGTTGTGCTTTGATTGTCTCCCAGAAAAATCAGTACTTTCTTTTTATTTTCTTTCTTTTTTTTATTATTATGTTATGTTAATCACCATACATTATATCATTAGTTTTTGATGTAGTGTTCCATGATGCATTGTTTGCATATAACACCCAGTGCTCCATGTAATACGTGCCCTCTTTAAAATCAGTAATTTCTATTTCAGTTTCTTCAAACTCAGCTCAGTATTTAAGGAAAGGATCTTATTAGCAAACACTGTTTTGGTTTTGGTTTTGTTACCGCTCTTAGATAAACTTAGAAAAATAGTGGCCTAATGGCTCCTCAGCCCGTACCCCATAGGACCCCTCCACCTGCCCAGGCGACTTTGATCCCAGCTTGTGGGATTCTAGCAGCTCTGGCAAAGTCATTCCAACAGCCCCCTTCCAGTCTAAGGTAAGAGGGAAGATGAGGGTGGCCCTTTAAAAAAGAAACTGGTCTTCAGAAAAGATCATTTCCAACTACATCCCATGTTCTTTATGATTGTTCTTCTAGAAAAGTGCCAACACTCCTACTGTTGGAGATTTTCCCTCTCCTGGGAAGAGGAGAACATTTAGTTCAGCAGTGCTTCATCATCGACTCCCACCCCTTTCCCCTGACCCTCCTGCCATTGGGAAAGAGGGAATGTGTGAGTCTCCACAGCCAGTCAGCCAGTCGGGGGCTCCCTCGGGAGCAAGTGATGTTTGTGCAGAAGAGAGCTGCACATTTGGTGGACATAGTCCAGACCCCACCAGCCGTGGGCATTTCTCCTAAGAGAGGGTTTTGGAATTTAGCTTGCTGCTTTTTTTAAGAGCTTGATTTACAGAGCTTCCAGGGAAAGGAATGGTGAGTTACTAGTCAACAGCTTTTTAACTCCCACGCCAGCCAAGCAAATATAATTCAATTCAAAAAACATTGACACTTCAAATGTGTCTGGCTCTGTGCTAGGTATTCTGGGGACACACAGATAAATAAAATATGGTTCTCTCATCTGCAGAGCTAACAGTCTGGCGTGTGTTGGTGTTTGGGGGATTATAGTTTAGTCCTCTATTTAGAATAGAACAGAAAGCTAGTTCACACTGGACTGGGTGTCGTGGTGGCGATATTTACTTTTGCTCTCACCTTCTTTTTTGCCGACTATCACTGCTGAATAATAATAAACATTCAGTTCAGCCCAATGCACATTTATTGAGCACTTACTGTGTACATTGTTGTAGAATATAGTCAGTGGTCATGGACTGGAGTGCTACCCACTAGTTTATGGTGGGATCAAACCTCTGGCTGTGGTTCCCACAGCAGCATGCTTTCAGCCAGGCTGTCACTGTCCACATGTCACTTGGCTACTGGAAGGAAACTCTGACTCTTAGTGGTGCCCGCCTCTCTGCTGGTTACCTGTCCCAGCGATGGGACCCTAAGTGCTCCATCCGTGTGTCCCTTGGAAATGTTAGACAGTGCCCCTGTGCACTGCACAGCTGCAGTGCAGACGCTGGATCAGCTTAAGTCTGTCCCTTTCCTGAGGAAGAACGTCCAGTTGCAAACCCATGTTCCACTGATGCTCGGTTGATGTACAGTTTCTTCTTGTAAGGACAACAGGGGGCCTCACGGGCAGCAGCAGGAGCCTGGAACTATGACAGGGTTCAGGGCTGCTATTCCTGACTCTGCCATTAATTAGATGTTTATCTTCGGTACCAGTTTTCTCATCACTTAAATTTCAATAAAAATGTCTTCTCTGTCTGCCTCCAAAAGATATTGTTACAATCCTTGAGAAAATTAGGGAGGACAATAGGATTCCAATTTCATATACATTCATACACAGAGAAAATTACTGGAATCTCTTCATACATCTAAATGATAAAAGTGGTTTTCTTTGGGTAGTGGGATTACAGACAGTTTTAATTTTCTTCTTTGTG